AGTTTTCGTATACATTTCAGTTTCTTATTCCATGTAACTTCTACAATTTCCATCCCCAATTTATTTTCAAATCGAGATTTTATGCCAACTATGTTTCAGGTTGAAGAATCAACGTGTTATGAATTGACCATTCAAGCCCAACGGAAAAAGCGCACAGAAGAGGAATCCAGGCATGAAATCAGCAACCGGTGATAAGCTTCCCATTCCTGTGTCGTATTCAATTCATGTAGAATATTTTTTCAAAATTAATTGATTAATTGTTATGGAAGGCGATATATCATTGAAAATGTTTCAGTAGTCACCTTTATGTCTCCATGGAGACACGACAGGTACCCTTACGAGGGGAGAGTATCAACCCTTGGCGTCGGTAAACCCTCATTGCAACCGAGGTAGGCGCCTGGTGGGTTAGGTATATACAGTGTTTTTCATTAAGGAGAAAACTGTTGGCTATCTGTTTCGTTCATTCAAGAAGAATATGTCGCATTTCAGCACCGGAATTTGAAAACAGTTTCCGTATACATTTCAGTTTCTTATTCCATGTAACTTCTACAATTTCCACCCCCAATTTATTTTCAAATCGAGATTTAATGCCAGCTATGTTTTAGGTTGAAGAATCAACGTGTTATGAATTGACCATTCAAGCCCAACGGAAAAAGCCCACAGAAGAGGAATCCAGGCATGAAATCAGCAACCGGTGATAAGCTTCCCATTCCTGTGTCGTATTCAATTCATGTAGAATATTTTTCCAAAATTAATTATTTGTTATGGAAGGCGATATATCATTGAAAATGTTTCAGTAGTCACCCTTATGTCTCCATGGAGACACGACAGGTACCCTTACGAGGGGAGAGTATCAACCCTTGGCGTCGGTAAACCCTCATTGCAACCGAGGTAGGCGCCTGGTGGGTTAGGTATATACAGTGTTTTTCATTAAGGAGAAAACTGTTGGCTATCTGTTTCGTTCATTCAAGAAGAATATGTCGCATTTCAGCCCCGGAATTTGAAAACAGTTTTCGTATACATTTCAGTTTCTTATTCCATGTAACTTCTACAATTTCCATCCCCAATTTATTTTCAAATCGAGATTTTATGCCAACTATGTTTTAGGTTGAAGAATCAACGTGTTATGAATTGACCATTCAAGCCCAACGGAAAAAGCGCACAGAAGAGGAATCCAGACATGAAATCAGCAACCGGTGATAAGCTTCCCATTCCTGTGTCGTATTCAATTCATGTAGAATATTTTTTCAAAATTAATTATTTGTTATGGAAGGCGATATATCATTGAAAATGTTTCAGTAGTCACCTTTATGTCTCCATGGAGACACGACAGGTACCCTTACGAGGGGAGAGTATCAACCCTTGGCGTCGGTAAACCCTCATTGCAACCGAGGTAGGCGCCTGGTGGGTTAGGTATATACAGTGTTTTTCATTGAGGAGAAAACTGTTGACTATCTGTTTCGTTCATTCAAGAAGAATATGTCGCATTTCAGCACCGGAATTTGAAGACAGTTTTCGTATACAGTTCAATTTCTTATTCCATGTAACTTCATAATTTCAACCATCAATTTATTTTAAAATCGAGATTTAATGCCAACTATGTTTTAGGTTGAAAAATCAACGTGTTATGAATTGACCATTTGAGCCCAACGGAAAAAGCACACTTAAGAGGAATCCAGACATAAAATCAGCAACCGGTGATAAGTTTCCCATTCCTGTGTCCTATTCAATTCATATAGAATATTTTTTCAAAATTAATTATTTGTTATGAAAGGCGATATATCATTGAAAATGTTTCAGTAGTCACCTTTATGTCTCCATGGAGACACGACAGGTACCCTTACGAGGGGAGAGTATCAACCCTTGGCGTCGGTAAACCCTCATTGCAACCGAGGTAGGCGCCTGGTGGGTTAGGTATATACAGTGTTTTTCATTAAGGAGAAAACTGTTGGCTATCTGTTTCGTTCATTCAAGAAGAATATGTCGCATTTCAGCACCGGAATTTGAAAACAGTTTTCGTATACATTTCAGTTTCTTATTCCATGTAACTTCAAAATTTCAACCCCCAATTAATTTATAATTCGAGATTTAATACCAACTATGTTTTAGATTGAAGAATGAACCTGTTATGAATTGACCATTATTCAAACCCAACGGTAAAATCTCATTATTGATGAACTTCGAAACTTGGGAGCTGGAAGTCATAGGTAAAGTCCATAATATAAGAAACATCTTCCTTAGGACCCAGTGTTATGAACTTCCACAGATGCATATCAAGAAAATAAATTATACTGGCTAGTTTTTTATTTCAAAGAGGTGCAATTAATCAACTAGGTACCTATGAGTTTTCTTATTTTCCTCGAAGGATCAGTATTTTTTGGTAACAAATGCTTAGGAAATGGAAATATACTGGGTACAGCATCTGGTTTCAATAACCTAGCAGTACCTGGTATGTATAAATAAATAATCAGTTGACAGGAAATGCTCTCCACGAAGCTTGCTGGTTTTAGATGGAGTCCAACTCTCTCTATACGAACTACCTTAATCCATAATTCAAGAATGTCTGAATGGAAAACTGCAACAAATAATATTACTTGATATGTTCATGGAAAAGTCATGGAAGTATTTAACTTTGACAAATAATATAGGTATAGTTTTTGAACATATTCTGAGACTGGGAACATTGTACACCTAACTGATGACCATTTCAAGAACTATATTTTCCAAAAATCTGAACAATATTCAACTTACCCATGGGATGACAATTTCCTTTTGTCTTGCTCGTTCTTGCATCCAAAGGTGACACACTAAATCACCATTGTTTATCAAAACCTTCTCAACAATCAATTCACAGTGTTTACACCAACAAATTCAGTCCTTTTTATAAAACAAAACACGCCAAATGAATAGATGAGAGATGTGACAAAAAAATCTAAAGTACTTCAATTATTTGATGAAAGCAAACGTAAACTCCAATCCACCATTAAACAACACGAGTAGGAAAGAGACAGGTATCCGTAAATCAAGCTATCTTTGTTGCAGCTGCCCCTGACACACTTTGTGCTATTCGAGAGAACAGTCGTCTCCCTTCCAGTTGTATTGAGTTCATTGACTACAGTACATACAGTATATTATCCGTTCCATGGTGTCACAGTTTATAAGTTGGCATCGACTACTGCCAGAGAGATAATATATAGGGTGATACTGAGAAACTGTTTGAAGTGAATGCGTACACTTCATATTTCAATCGAGAAAAGTTAAGGACATCACCTATTGTTACCTGAAAGTTAGGTACCTAATAATTATTTACCAGGGTGATCAAAATTCTGAATCTCGAACCATCCTGTATTTTTTCCAATTAAATGTCGGTAGATGGTTAATCAAAAGTTAATATAGGGACATGTAAGCCGTTTTGACCAATGATGAATAGTTTCGCCAAAAAAAAATCCTAAAGTTGAAAAATCTCGATTTTGAACACCCTATATCTCTGTAATAATTCCTGCTAGACCCCAAGTGTTATGCATTGATGAAATCAGCTCTTCGAGAAGAATCTAAAAACGCAATAAAATACAGGGTATTCCATTTGAAGTACCAAAGATGATGCTACTTTTTGGTAAAAGTGGCAACGCTGCTTCGCTGAAAATATTTTGAATCGTTAGATCACAAACGCTTATTAGAGTAACCAAATTTTCAGGATAATCCAATGTACCGTTTTCCGTATACGTCTAAGGTACCATCGACCATGGGCCACCCATACATATCTGGGTGTATTTATATATCCAAATAAATTGTCACTCTACCCATATACAGGCTGTCAATTTGAAAACTTCCCACCCTTAATATCTCCCTCCAAGTCGATAATATGGAAAAACGAAAAGACAGGTCGATTTTATTTTCGAGGGGGACATGGTTCTAAAATATTTTCAGCCCCGCGGCGTTGCCGCTTCTAACGAAAAGAAGCAACAACTTTGTTATTTCAAATGGAACACCCTGTATTTTATTGCATTTTTAGATTCTCACTGAAAAGCTGATTTCATCAATGTATCACACTTGGGGTCTAGCAGGAATGATTACAGAGATATAGGGTGTTCAAAATCGAGATTTTACAACTTTAGGATTTTTTTGAGTCGAAACTATTCATTATTGGTCAAAACGGCTTTTATGTCCCTATCTCAACTTCTGATTTACTATCTACTGACATTTATTTGAAACAAATACAGGGTGGTTCAAGATTCAGACTTTTGATCACCCTGTATTTGTTTCAAATAAATGTCAGTAGATAGTAAATCAAAAGTTGAGATAGGGACATGTTTTGACCAATAATGAATAGTTTCGACTCAAAAAAATCCTAAAGTTGTAAAATCTCGATTTTGAACACCCTATATCTCTGTAATCATTCCTGCTAGACCCCAAGTGTGATACATTGATGAAATCAGCTTTTCAGTGAGAATCTAAAAATGCAATAAAATACAGGGTGTTCCATTTGAAATAACAAAGTTGTTGCTTCTTTTCGTTAGAAGCGGCAACGCCGCGGGGCTGAAAATATTTTAGAACCATGTCCCCCTCGAAAATAAAATCGACCTGTCTTTTCGTTTTTCCATATTATCGACTTGGAGGGAGATATTGAGGGTGGGAAGTTTTCAAATTGACACCCTGTATATGTTGCCATTTGGAACTTTTGAAAGGTTATGCTAACATCAAGTTTCAAGGAATAATAAGTAAGTATATATATAGGTACAGCGACATTTGAGAAACTATGTCTGATCATTTGTTTCATGACATTCGCTCTTCTATATAACAGTTAGTTGAGGTGGTTCTTATCACATATGCACCACCCAGTAGATATTCGATCTCTTCGTTGGATATAAACCCCCTAATGAGTACCTATAGGTATCTAAAATGATAGTTTGAAAATGAAATAAATGGAGTTAGTTTTTCATGTGCGATCGATATAGATTTGATAAATTACCATTTGCCGCGCCTAGGTTTCTATGACGACCGGACAGTGTGTGGCAAAGTAGTTATTCGTGGAGAATCTTTCTTATTAATCGACATGAAACTACAATGGGGAATAAGTTAGTGACGTTTACGGATCAACAATTCGAGAATTATCAGGTAAACAATCTGGAGTGTTGGTGAACGTCTGTTAAACCATTTGTTCTCGTTCCTCAGGACTGCACATTCTTCACCAGAAAGGAGATATTGAGGTGCGTATGCAGGATATACCTATAGCTATGATGAAAGTGCGATATTATAGTGAATTCATTACCTACTTCTGAGCCATTCAAACAATTTGTTAGGTAGGTATATACAGGGTGTTATTTAAGTACGTGGCCAAACTCGAAGGGGTGATTCTTTGAGTGATTCTAAGACGAAAAGTTCATATAAACATAGGTCCGGTAATGCTTCGTTTTCAAGATACAGGGTGTCGAAATTTTTAAAAGAAATCGTTTTTTTCGTAAATATCTCAATAACCCTTCAACCGATTTTATTGAAATTTGGCAGTGTTATTCAAGGTCGTAAAGGGCTAATTTAACCCTTACTATATCAAAATCATCATGTCCAGTGGCGTCCCGGAAGGCACTGTAACCAATATTTTTGACAGAAAAAATGTGCGCCACTGATTTTTTTGCAATTTTTGTATTTGTTTCACATTGAGCAACTAGAATAGAGTATTGATATATGAAAAAATATCAGTAAGACCCCAGTTTTTGATGGTTTAGTAGTTGAAATGTTTTATTGTGTTGTCACAGGGATGTGCCATGAAGTGATTTTTATGTTTTTTCTCAAAAACAAAGCAAGATACGAAAAAAATTCTTGATATAAAAAAGTTGTAATTTTAGTTGCTCAATGTGAAACAAATACAAAAATTGCAAAAAAACAGTGGCGCACATTTTTTCTGACAAAAATATTGGTTACAGTGCCTTCCGGGACGCCACTGGACATGATAATTTTGATATAGTAAGGGTAAAATTAGCCCTTTACGACCTTGAATAACACTGCCAAATTTCAATGAAATCGGTTGAAGGGTTATTAAGATATTTACGAAAAAGACGATTTCTTTTAAACATTTTGACACCCTGTATATTGAAAACGAAACATTACCGGACCTATGTTTATATGAACTTTTCGTCTTAGAATTACTCAAAGAATCACCCCTTCAAGTTTGGCCACGTACTTTAATAACACCCTGTATGTACATTATTATAGGATATTTATATACTTACTCATGTTCCAATCATATGGAGAAGCAATTTGTATGGGTAGGCACTTATGACGAAATGCATGTGAAAGAGGTGCCTATATTGTTTACTTGCCGATGAACATTTTGAATGGCTCATGATGAATCAGGGAACTCGATTTTGAAAATTATCATTTCTCCCAATTTTTTTGCGGATGCATGTGATGTTCCAGGGTTTTCAAACGATTCCGGGAAGTTCGACCTGATTTGGTCCCGAAACAGATGAAGAAAAATCAAGCCGTTAGCGTTCGGATACCTCTGGAAGACAGCATAGAGAAACTTCCAGAATTGCATGTAATATCAGTCCGACTCTGAAGGATCCACTCATTATTTATAATTATTTTCAGGAGAATCCTTTCAAGAAGAGAATATGCGAGGTATTTTCCAGGGATGGAAAAGGAAATTTATCGTTTGAGGACTTCTTAGATTTGCTTTCGGTTTTCAGTGAACAAGCACCCAGAGATATAAAAGTTTTTTACGCTTTTCGCATCTATGGTTAGTATGTATACACATATATATATAATGTGTTAAAATTTGGCCCACCCCACCCCTGTACGATTTAATAATTTTTTTTCCTCATTTATTACTACTCAAAATAATCTACTTTGTCGAGCGAACGGAGTAGGCATTTTTATGAAAAATAATTCTCTCAAAAATTTGAATAATATAATACTTATATGATGGTAGTGAGGATCATCTCTGGCTACAGAGTGAGAAATTCAGGCCAAGAAAAGAGAAGAGTTGCGACAAATAATAACAGTTTGCAGAGAGATACCACCAGGAGAGCTGAGGAGAGTTGAAAATAGCTTGTGGAAGAGATATGAAAAGTGTATAGAGAATGAAGGAGTTTTGATCGAGAATATACAAAAACCTCAGAGGGCCGTGTCCTGTGAGAAAGCCTGTGATAAGCTTTAGCTCTGGTTTGCTGAGGCTGAGTAGCTCTTTGGCTCGGTTCTGCGAATGGTTGATGAACCTTTTTGCTTGTCGTTGACCTGGAGTATCATTTTCTTTTGATTTCTTTATACATTTTTTCAATCTATAGTGATTCTATTCGTTATTTATCCAACTGTAAATATACCATCCAATCCTGACTACCATCATGCCTATAGTATCATTGAAATTCTTATGAGAATTATTATACAGACTGACTTGAAGAATGCAATTATCCAAAAATTGTAACGTTGATTAAAATCACTCCTTATGCGATATTAATTTGAAAATTCATAAAGGAGTATTGTTTTTGCTCGACAAAGTGAAATTTTGAGTAGTATATTATGAGAGAGAAAAATTCAAATCTTCCTAATAGGAATATGAAAGTACACGGTTGGGGTGGACGAAATTGTAACACACTGTAATTATATGCATTCCATCACTTACTGTGAGAACTGATGTTTGATCCATAAGCCTTTCTCTCATTCTTTCTCATATTATACACAAATCATCAGATAGATAGAAGAGATTGTGATCGTTAGACAGAAAATCTATATTATACAAACGGAATACATTCTCCAAGTTCAAATAAAAGTAGGTAAAACAGTTTTCTCGTACATTATATCAATCTATAATCTACAGGGTGGAGACTTCAACAGGAATGAATTCGCTACTGGGAGAGTGAATGATTTTCTGAAAATTCGCTAGACAATTCAACGTTTGAATATATTTACCTACATTTGGCGAGCAATATGGAAAAGATAACCTTCCAGGGGTAGCTGGAATCAACCCCAACATGTTATTTTCAAATGCAACCCTATGGCTGGCGACCCCTCATTGGAAAGCTGGTTGAGAAAGGAATCCAGCGTACTGATCATATTCCATTATCAAATCAATCAATCAAAATATAATTTCGTAGTTTAATATATTTTGATATATAGCATTTCCACCAGTTTGCAATAACAAAAAGTTCTGACAAAAAATTGCCATCAATTGTTCAACACACAATTTCCACCAGCTTTCCGATGAGGGGTCACAGGCCATTTGAAAAAAATCATGTTGAGGGTGGGTTCAGCTACCCCTGGAGGAATATATTCTCGATATATTGCTCGCAAACGGTAGTTAAATACATTGAATCGTTGACGTATGTCGGGAGTTTTAAGAAAAAATACTTATTTACCTCCCCGCTATCGAATTTATTCCAATTGGAGTCCCCACACTGTATATCGATGATATTCTGATACACAGAGTGGCCCATTAGATAGCGGCGGGCCTTCCTCATAAATATTTCACTTAGGAAACGATTTTTACGAATTTTCTTTTGAAATGTTGAGGGGGAAAGGTGTATTTTGGAGCTGATCCGCGTCCATTTTTTTTAAACCCAGACCTACTATAGAATATAGATCCTAGATCACATTCAGAGGCTGAAACATCTATAGAAATCATATATTAGCAATTTTTTTAGAAAAAATCCGCTGAAATAGATTTGTACCAAGTTTCAAGAGAAAATATACACGGTGTTTTTCAAAAATGTGAATTTTCGGAAAGTGGCTGACATTTTTTATTGTAAAAAATTCTTCGTTTTCATGAAAACATTCTCAATTCATTGTGTTTGTCATGGAAATTGATCCTCAGGTACTGAAATCAGTCACCGTGTACCTAGTTGCAAAAAAGAACATTTGTTTCAAGAAGAACAAGTTATATATATTCTTGAACTAAATATAGGAAGGCCGATTCCAATGCCTCGAGAACAATTTTCATCACAAACTCAATTCTTGACAGATATTTTCATAAGAACAGAGAATTTTTGACAAAAAAATATCTGTAGCCACTTTGAAACGACGACAGATATCGATAAGCGGATTGCACCATTGGGTTTTTCATGAGAATCGACCCTCAGGCAGCGACATGAGGTTCTGGTTCTGGTTCTGGTTCGAGAATATATAGGACTTTCCCTTCAAAAGTGTCCAATTTATTGGCCCACACTGTACATCAAGTTTGTGTAATGAATACATTTTCAGTAAAAATGGAGATACAAGGTATTGTTTCTTGAGCATCGTTATATAGATTTAAAGCAACATGAAGTATTCAGATATAACGATATATACCTATATTACATACAATGTTCAGATTCTAATCTGTCCACCATGCACCAACTATTTTGTATAGTGTATAGCATAGATTAATGTTTCGATAACTTTGCAGATTTTGATGGAGACCAACATATAGGCCAAGAAGATCTGGACCAAGCAGTTCTTCTTCTGACCAAACATACTCAGGAGCTAACTCCTGAAGATAGACAGCAAATTGTAGAAAAAGTTATCGAAGAAGGAGATGTAGATGGGGATGGCAAACTTTCTTACATGGAATTCGAACATGTTATATTGCGAGCTCCAGAGTTTCTATCAACTTTTCATATACGTATTTGAAAGATGTGTGTGGTGATACCAAAACAATATTTTTATAGATTTAATATGAATAAATAATGTGAAGTACAATGCGATGTGAATTCGTGAATCTATTTTTAGATAGAAGGCATATAGTAACAGAGCAGTGAATATACCTACTTAGAGCCGGACTGTAAATATAAGTATATATATTTTACATCCTAGATTTTGGCGTATCAACCTTTGTTTCAACTGATTTTCAATGTATTCAATAAGATAAGGGGAAGCTCAAGTTTTTTGATTACTACCTATATATCTACCAGAAATATGCCATTCTCAATGATATCATGCAGTGATATAGTGTGACGAGACTGTATAATATGTAGGTATGTTATATAATATACTTCCCAGTACACCCTGGTGTATTTTGGGAACTGCAAATTCTTCAATTGCATGAGGAGTAGACAGTGGAAGCCATTCCGCCTTTATTTAAAACTCGTCTCAATGGGTTTTCCTTGACAGAAGCGAATTTTCTCTAGGGAATCTGATAAATATTTGATCTACTGAAAAACGCTTCACAGAATCGAATATAGGGTTGAATAAAAAATGAAGAACCACCCTTCGTGTCTAATTTCAGTATACCCTGATATTCACTGATAAATGTATCTTTGAAATGGGAAATAATTGATGGATTCTGATTGAAACTATGTTTGTTCAACATTTATTGTCAATACATAGTAGTTTTCATTTGACATTATAGCATAGATTCACATATATGATAGACATTATAAAAATAATTGAACGTAATATCTTCATGAGAAAATATGATCCATTTTTCCTGCGAAAAAATAAATATGATGAAGGATTGTTTAACGCATATATACAGAATACGATGTTGGGACTCCTGCCATAAAAAGAAGTATATAGTGTCCCAAAAAAGTATTCGATCATTCTTTATATGACAAAGTTTGAATGAAGATATCGATATAGTTGTAGATTTTCACCGTTACTCACCGATAAGAGTTTCCCAAATCATGGTTGTTTTCATCCCATATATTGAAGAGAAATGTCTTCAGAACATTCAACGAGTTTTCTGAATATGCTCAAACTCATAGCAAATCTGAAGATAACATCAAACATAATTATTCAGTAACATCTTTGTTGATCCCGTGACTAAGTTAGAGCAACACATAATGATTGCATATAGACAACATCTAAAAACATTGAAAATTAGCAGATCGTGTGACATCCATATCATCAGAGCTGACGTGAGGAGAAGAATTTGAGGAAATTCAGAAATTGTATGCCGAAGAAATAAGAAGTGGAGAACATCAACAATAAAACATCCTATTCAGACTTTTACTATCACACATTTAACTTCCGATAAATTTTTCAATGTAACTTTGTCAACATGGCTTTCTAGACTTTAGAGGAGGATGAACAGATGACAAGTATTGCAAAGTAGAGTCTAGCCATAGCACCATAGCGAGGTAATATTGCGCGTGGCTCGCTGCTCGCTGGTGGTGAGAACTTGCAGCGACACAAAAATTAATATGAATTCGTGTATGAATATAAAAATATTGTTGTGAAATGATACATAAAACAACTGCTTTCCCAGTTGATACCATGATACCACGTACATCCATCTATCGAAGAGGCCCAATCAATCAGAATCCAGGGTGATCGATTTATTCAGATAGTACACTACTTTTCATAATTATGTATCCCTTATTATACAGGGTGTTGCGAAATTCGACCGACAACGCTTGACAGAGGTAATAGCCCTCGTGATTTCATGATCACTGAGATAGGGACATACGCGGTCCCCAACTGTTCAGTTCTTGAGATACAGGACGTTGAAGTTGAGAAATAAAAATAGTTGTTTCGCAATATCTCAGGAATAATTGGATATAATGCATTCAAATTCGGTATATGGTTTCATCTTCGTCCAGTGGTGCCCTACAGGAGGTTGTGGTAACTTTTCCTCCCATATTTTCTACGCCACTGATTAAATTCCGATTATTTCCAATTCCTCGAATTTATTGTTCAATTTTGTTCAAAAAATGTATCACCTTCAACTGAGCTGAGATTAACAGTTTTCGAGATATTCGACCCAAAATAGAAGATTTCATAGTAATATTTCATCATTTTCAGTAGTAGAAAATTGCAAAAATATATTTCCGGTGTTGAGTTGATTGGATACTATTCAGATCTCATTCTGTAGCTGAACAGAAATAGTTATACCACGCATAAAGAGAAAACAAACATTTTTGTAGTTTTCTACTACTGAGGAAGATGAAAAATTACTATGCAAACTTCTACTTTGGGTCAAATATCTCGATAACTATTCATTTTAGCTCAGTTGAAGGTGATTCATTTTTTCAACATAATTGAACAATCAATTCGAGAAATAGGAAATAACTGAAATTTCATCAGTGGCGTAGAAAATATGGGAGGAAAAGTTATCACAACCCTCTGTAACGCACCTCTGAAAAAAATTCTCGGAATGTCTTTCTGGTCAAAAAATCATAACCATTGAAAGATGAAACCATATACCGAATTTGAATGCATTATATTCAATTTTTCTTGAGATATTGCGAAAAAACTATTTCAATTCCTTACCTTCAACGCCCTGTATCTCAGTGATCATGAAATCACGAGGGCTATCACCTGTCAAGGGTATCGGTCGAATTTCGAAACACCCTGTATAAATGAAAATATCGATATTATTTCAATATACGTGTAGTAAGGACAAATCAGATGATTTGCCCCAAAATATCACTGTGTTTAAAGAATTTTCCTATCAAGAGAGCCAAAAAGAAAAATTCACTAGCTTTTCAGTGATCAATTTGTATTGAAAAAGGTATGGAGAAGAAAAATAAAGGTATATAGAAAAAATATCGACTTGTCATTTATCTTTGGACGTTTCGGGAACGAATCTGCTCCCGTTTTCAACATAAAAAATGGATTTTTGTATTGCAAATTCGTATTTTTCTTGACACTTCTCAATTCTCAGTGACAATTGGTGACGTTGACCATCATAAAATGAGTTACAGGATGTTTTCATCAACCAATCTTGAATTCACCACTTTTCAGATTTCAATGGTGAATACCATATTCTTCTATTGATAATAATTGAACGTAATATCTTCATTTCCATACAATGTTCATAAAATGAACAAAAATGGTAGATTTCGGGAGAAAAACAACTACTTTCCTGGCTGATGCCATGAAGAACATTGAATTACATCATTACATCTGAGGTTTTTGTATTTATTTAACATATCATTCATTTTGTAGTTCAAATTACGCCAGTCGGGCATGGACTTTCAGTTTTGGAGTGGTTCTTTCCTTCGTTTCTACTCAGATGGCGTTGCTTCCATATTGTCTATGAAGGAGAAGGACGCCTCTGGGGGGATATAATGCCGACTTGATGTTTGTTTTGGCTAGGCTACGCTTAGTCGGCGGTCTTAGGTCTGCTGGCTGGAGACTGCCCTGCACTGATGAGAGTCAAAGAGCTCGAAACCGGTCTGTAGGTGTCTAGCGTGGCCTGGCTGAATCGAAATCAATAGACATTCAGGAAAGAATCATTTGTATCAGTTTTCGTTTATACCAGTCGGTGCATAGATTTCGGGAGGATGTAATTCAATGTTCTGCGTGGCGTTTGCCAGGAAAGTAGTTGTTTTATTCCGAAATCTACCATTTCTGTTCATTTTATGAAATGACTTTGAGCATTTTATGTTTCTCGCGACCAGCGAGTAGCGAGCCAGGCGCCATATTACCTCGCTATGGTGCTATGGCTAGATTCTAGTGTATTGCAGGTCCTGAGTCAGTCACTCAAAGACCCTAAGGAATCACAGAGTTAATACAGATACTGGGAGGAACGTCTTCTGTAGGGAGGGGGCCTAACAAGCCGGGGGTTGAACGGCCCCAGCGCTGCTTCGTTAGTCGAAGAGGCGCTCCTGTAGATCGTCAGGGTGCGGAGTCTGCTGCAAGGCCCCTTTGGCCACTTGTGGTTCATGCTCCAATAGAGAATGGGGCCGATAGCGGAATGCATATGCCCCAGGAACAGGGTGATCTGTTTGACGTATTCCGGGGGGGCTTGCATCAGCTCTTCGTAGAACTGGGAGGCTACGTAGGGCAGCCAGCACATCATGAAGAACAGCGACAAGCACAACAGACAGTTGGCCAGTCTGCGACGGCTGCGCAGGGTCGATGTTGGAGGGGCTGTCTCTTCCATGGTGTCTTGAGCCGTCGGGATTCTCATCTGTTCTCTGCCCTGAAGAGGAAAACTTGGTCAAAATTCTGGACATGTGTATAATAATCTGATAATAATAATGATGATACTGTCTGTAGGTTAATCGAGGAGGTGGTACATTTATTATTTGGTATTTTCCTTCCTCGTCTCTATAAAATGAAATATCAATATACTATTTTAATATACGTGTAGTAAGGACAAAACAGATGATTTCCCCAAAATGTTACTGCGTTTAAAGAAGTTTCCTATCAGACAGCCTGAAAGTAAAAATTGTCCAGCTTGTCAGTGACAATTTGTATTGAAAAAAGTTTGGTGAAGAGAAATGAAGGTATATAGAAAATATATATCAAATTTGTACTTAGCTTTGGACGTTTCGGGAACGAATCTGCTCCCGTTTTCAACATATAAATGGATTTTTTATATCGCAAATTCGTATTTGTCCTGAAACTTTTCAGTTCTCAGTGACAATTAGTGACGTTGGCAAACAAATGAGTTACAGGATGTTTTCATTAATTAATCTTGAATTTACCATTTTCATTTTCAGATTTCAATAGTGAATACCATGTTCTATCTATATCAACTGAACAGGAAGCAATGCTATTGTCTCCGTTCAGTTGATATAGATTGAACATGGTATTCACTATTTAAATCTGAAAATGAAAATGGTAAATTCAAGATTAATTAACGAAAACATCCTGTAACTCATTCGATTGCCAACGTCACCAATTGTCACTGGAACTGAGAAGTGTCAAAAAAAATACAAAAATCCATTTTTTATGTTGAAAACGGGATCAGATTCGTTCCCGAAACGTCCAAAGATAAGTAACAAGTCGATATATTTTCTATAAAGTTGAAAAATCTATATTTTAAACACCCAATACCTATTTAATCATTTTCGCTAGACCCCAAGTGTGATAAATCGATGGAATCAGCTCTTCAAGGAAAATCTGAAAATCCAATAAAGTACGGAGTGTTTCATTCAAAATAAGGAAGTAACAAAAAAATCCAGAATAAGTGGCAACACTGGCTATAACATTTTCAAATCCGCCACATTTTCAAAATCACACTGTACATAAATTCAAAAAAAAAACAACAACAGGTTACCGAGATATTCACCTGTTTCCATACATATCAGCGACCCTGTATAAAAATAAGTATCGTAGGTATTTCATGTGACGTTGAAGGACGACTTCCTAAACAAATGGAACCTTCTTATATTCACTATTATTAAGAACATTTCTGAGACATATAAATTCAACGCATAAAAATGTAAATGAGAAAGGCATTATTTTTCTTACAGTTTTCAACAGTCAATGCTGAAGATCTCCAGGGATGCGGGTGAGTTTACCAAATTATATTTCATGAATAATGTATGGTTCTCCTTTTATATCCATCAATTCAGTTCATATACCAACTGACAAAGCATTTTTATACATCATCAGGAATATTATAGCACCAATGTTTTGGCATAAAGCACACACAATGCGAATGAAATAATATCGAATGACAATTGAAAATAACATTGCTCTTAGATATGAATTTTCCTTTCTGGAGATTCTTTGAAATCAAGCCCAATTTTCACTTGTAATACCACGAGAGCTTCAAGACAAGGGAGAACTTTCTAAATATGCGCGTATGAGAAAAATGTCCCATTTTTAATTAATTAATTAATTTCACACTGAAATTCAAAGAAACACTAGAATAAGATTACGCTAAATGAAATAAAAAATATCGATTTTAGGTACTCAAAACATTAATACAGCAGCTGGTGGTAGATCAAACTATTATTCTTGACTATAACTTTATTCCACTGAAGTTGGTGGAAATATATTTCGTTACAAGGAACTCGACAGTAGTCCAATAATAATTCATATCCATAACATGGTTAGGTAAAATAAAACACAATAAACTAACTTAAGTTACACAAAATAATAAAAAATAAGTCAATTGTAGCTCAATTCCTCAGTTTTTCACAAAATAACTGAAGTTGGTAGAAATATATTTTCTCACAAGAATCTCGAAGTAAGTACTATTTTCATTACGAATAAAATTTGCTCACGTAAGTAATATTATTAGGTTAAATAAAATATGATAAAATGACTTTACTATAGTAGATCAATCTCTCAGTTTATTTCAAATTCATTTAGCTAAAGTTGTCAGAAATATATTTTCTTACAAGGTATTTATCAACTTATAGAATCAATTCGACGTAATCTGAATTTAAATGTAAATGCCATTTTACCATTAAACGTCAAAAAATGCCCAGTTAAATTTCATACTCCTTTCCCTAAGGAATAGGAAAATATTCCCAGAAATTTGATCAGTTGCTATGGTCAAGATACAAAATAAAGACTTTTATAATTATTGGTCGAAAATGGTAGGTGTGAAATTCTCATTTCAATTCAATACGGATGCTTGCCTCATTGTTTGATCTATCCTCTCGAATAATCATCTGAACATTGAACTTTATATAGAAACGGTACCGTTTGAGTGTCATTTATCATCTACTTTACCACTCTTTATTCCGATTCTGACTTCCACCAATGCCCTCTCTCTCGGTCATGATGTACTTATTTCATGCATAAACTTGATGATGGCCTGGAAAAGGTTTTTAAGTATCTACTCATTTGATACCTATACCAAACTATATGAACAATTTTATTTTATCAGTTAATGCAGATTAACCATTTTCTGAATATAGTTATCAAAACTTCTCTGCATGGACTATAACATAATCAACTCAATTTTTCGTATTTTCATTTGGAGAGGAGATCAAAATCATTAAAACCGATGAAATACTGTAATATTTTGGGTTCTTCAAAATCGAATACTCACTCCCCAGGTAGCACATGACGACTATATGACGTCTAATTGACGGCATCACATTCGGCCAAAAGACGTCTTTATTTCAACCAATGCGACGTCCAAATGACGTAAGTAAGACACATCCAAATGACGTCATATTTGAAAGTCTTTTAGACGTCAGTATGTGTTTTCAAATTGGACCTTAAACTGACACTACTGACCAATTTCCGACGTCAATAAGACGTCTTTTTTTTTTCATAAAATTTTGAGGTTAATGGTTATAATCTGGTGAGGAAGGTAATCATTTGTGCTATAAAATAAATTTGCTACGAATGAAGATTTTATTAACAAGATAGTAATGTGAGGTATTACATATAGTTGAAAAATTTCAGCGTCGATGGATCCCCTAAATGGCGGCCAAAACACTTCCTTTTTCAACGGCGTCAGCAAAGTTTCGTGAACAACAGCTACACTGTTGCTTCCACTGTCATCAAATTGTATCACACAATACATCCTGAATACTTTCACGTGAAAAACAGACTGTATAGAAATACCACTCAAACACTCAACATTTCAAATGGCACAGACGCCGTTCACAAACAACACCCATTCGAACATGGACGATGGACAATGAACATGAACGGGAACGCACCATGCACGATGCAAGCTTGACGCTGAACCACAGAACGGACCGCTGAACGGCACTAACGCCACTAACGGCAGTCGCGAGATGGTCGCGAGTCGCATACACAATCTCTTCGCGTGATTACTTGATCGCCATTGCCATCTGGTCGGTGAGTGAGAATTGTCTTTGGCGCTAAATTTAAACATTGAAAATCAAGGGAAGCCTATGGAATAAAATACATTTTTATCATACATTTATACAGTTATTTCGATAAATTGATTGATTTATTTTATAACTTCGTTGTCCTATACATACATGATAATGATAATAATACTCAAAAAAATATGAAGACCATAGATTGACGTCTATACGACGTCAAACAGTGGCTGTCCATAAGACGTCACATTAATGACGTCCACATGACGTCATAATTTGGTCAAAAGACGTATGAGACCAAAAAAGACCTTAGATAGCGGTCCTATAGACGTCACATTCGTCAGTCTGGCTACCTGGGTCTCTTGTGAGAAGGAAAAGTGCTTGAAATATTCAAAAATGCCATTGTCATTCAGATATAGCGATCCCACTGATCACTCTTGAATATTAATAAGCATTGGATTGGATCCAGATAACTTTCGAGGACAAGCGATACAACTCAAGGGGAGTTTGGAATTTTCATTCAATGGAAATATATCCCGCTATACTAAGTGTATTATGGAACATCAGAATCGTCTTTTGATACAAAATTGCAATCAAGCATATGAATCGGTGCAGAATAATACGTGAATATAGGTAACTGAAACAGAAGTGCCCATAATAGAATCACAAAGGTGGTATAGTATATAAATTTTCTCATTTGTTCCGATCAATATCATCTGAGATCAGAGATTCGGTTACGATATGATGAAACTGAAAATAGTTCAAAGTGTATGAAAGATTAATTCATGAAGTATTTTCATAGATCTAAGTATGCATCTGACAAAACCAGCAGAGTAGCAATTTTCTCACTGAATAATGTTATATGTTGGGATCCTTAATCCATCTTATATTAAATAATGGCCCGTTAAAACTTATATAGCAAGGCAGAGAAAGTTGTTCAATTCTGAAAGAGCCTCAAAGTTTGGGATGCTCTTAAATGGAATATCACAAGTTTGAATTCTGTCCTAAGGGGATAACCGGATGAATTAACCAGGTACAGTATATATACAAACAATAATATATCTTTGATGTGTTTCCTATCTGAGAAGCGATTTCATCCTCTTTTTAATTACTTAGTCCATCTAGGTTGCGCTTTTTCCGACAACTCGAAAATAAGATACCTTTGGAGAGAGAATTATACACTGAGGAAAATTTCTATCAACCATAGTTAGAAATCGAATTATACCAGCAAGAAACTCTAATAGCATTGGGGAAAAGCGAGTTATCACCTCTGATTATAAAGTCGACTTTGCTGATTATAACCTATACCTGCGATTAATAGATAAAGAACCTTTTTTTTCTGCAAACTTTTAAAACCAATGTAGGTATTTTGAAAACTAGGCAATTTATTACAGATGCGTACAGGAAAAAAATGTTACCAGTGAGATCATTCAAATAAATTCATGACCAGAACATTTTTGCTCACGATAGGTTAGTTCTTAGACCACATTCTATAGAGAAGCTCTGGAAAATATTCGACAACTTTGAAGTTTCATTGGACCAAAAAGAAGGAAATGTTGAATGTAAAATGAAATTTTGGTCAAAATACCTTGACAAACTCACCTCACTCAGATCTACGAAAGTACAGGAAAGGACACAGAAAATTTGTTTATAAATGTTTTCATTTAATATTTGAATTCAGATTCAGAATTTGAATAATGAATTGAATTCAAGAGAGGAAGTATTCGTTACTGTCCTGTCGTCGAGATTGTCGTCAGCAAAATAACGAATAACGATAACTAGGCGCAGAATAACCCCAAGTGCATGGGTACGTGAAATATTTGTTTTCGTGGCAGGCTGACGGTTGTATTATTGGTAGTGAGTGCAGTTTTACGCGATGAACCTGGCAGCCACAGGCATATAACTCACTAGTAGTTCACCTAAACAATTATTATAAAAAAATCATGCTGTCCCAAAGTGGCTGCCTGATAGCAATATTCAAAAATGTGTAACGGTAATAGCATTTCTTGTAATGGTTAGCAAGGAATATCTCAGCAAAAACTCTAATAGCCCAATTTTCCTCAGTGTACGTTGACATAAATCCAGCATTTAATTTTGGTAAGTATAGGTATGATAAAATTCTGCGAATTCCTTGGGTATAACAGAGAGACATAGGGTAAATCTGCGAGGAACGGGAAGATTGAATGAGATAACAATCCTTGAACTTCTCCTTATATTTTCTTGTCTGCTCAGTATTATATTCAATATCATTTTGTATATTTTACGTCATCGCAGAAAAATCGATCGCTGATTGTTCTTTTGTTGAACGTAATATAATACTGGGACTGGCAACCTGCAAGGCACTCAAGGGTTGGAGGGATCGCTTCAAACAATAGTTCGAAAACAGAAAACAGGTAAGAGAGAAGAGATTCGGGATCGGGAATTGATTGGCGAATGAAGAATCTGAATAAGAGAGGCGATGGATGAAAATGAGTATCTGAAACCAGTGACTAGAAGTTGAGTACCATACAAGGGTCTATTTTGTCTTACCCTTTTGTCACTTCACATCACAAAGCTGAAGCTTTTTGAAAAAATGCAGTGTCTTCATGAATGTACTTATCATTTACTAGATATTGATGTGATATAGACGAGTAGCACTTCGAATCTCAAGAGTGCCATCGAACAAAAACATCTCCCAGAGTGAGGAGAGTTCTATATATTAAATGCCTAAGGCATTCGTACGTAATAATTCAGAAACTGACACAACGAAGCCCTTGTTCAAAATCATGTTATAGGAAATAACGAGAAAAAACATATGTAATGATGACGATAGAGCATAAATCAGGAAATTGAAATGTTATTGACAAAATCAATGTAATTAATATGATTGCGAACTAGAGTATTAAATATGAGAGGTCAGTAGGGGCGGCAAAAATTGAACAGCGGCACATTTGTAAATCCGTCACTGCATGTCTTTGGACTTTTTACTATATCTCTTTACCCTCTATAGCAGGTGTTCTGAAAGGTATTTCAGACCCATCATATACTAAGTACGAACCCTTTATGATTTTGCATTTAATTTCCAAATTCGTGGAATGGGAAGTAACCTCAAACGGTAGGTTCGTAAGAATGACGTCCATTGTGCTTCAGTGATGCAGAGTTCATTTCATTAGAGGTATTATATATTATATTGTCTGCCAAATAATAAGGATATTATTCCGGACTGCCACCAGCAAAATGGAGTTTTTATTTGGCATAATTCGATTGAAATGTCCCTCTGGTCCAGCATCCCATTAAATTTGAAGCGCGAGGAAACCGTTTAGCGTAATTGGAAAGTGAAATAACTTGGCAGGATAGGGAAATAAAATATATTTCGAACTTGGTTATTTGAATATAAAACGGGAAACATTTTCGCTTTTTATTACTAATTTATTCGGAATAAGAGTGCATTTGCAGCAAATAATTGTGGTTAACCCGTCAACCACATTCAAATAAGGACACATCAGATTAAAAAAGCGTTTAATTTTCTCATCCACCACGTACGGGATGATAGCTTTATGTGTTTAATCTAGAGAGAAAATAAGGCTTCTAAAGTGACCACCTGTTTCTAATTACTTGGGTTGAAGTTGCAGAGGAAGGGAAATTCAACCTCGATGAGATAATACGAGGTTTTCTTTCGCTAGTGGTATACGTCATATTCAGGTGTTCTATCTAGTTCCTCTGAAATTGCAAGTTCTCTTCAATACCTACCCTGTTTCTGAAACGCCCAACTGAACTTCTCTTCTTTCAGCATATGAACACATTTATTTTCTGAGAGGGTGTTTGTTCCATATAGTTTTATTATTGAATAAAAAAATACACGAAGTGTTTTTTATTATGAATTCTCGTGAAGAAGAATGTAAAGATGTGAAAATATATTCTACGTCTATAAAGTATTATGCTAGCTATGTATAAGTACACCAAAACAAGATGTTGTATAGATTCATTCAGTGGGTAGGTCTTTTATATTATAACGACACAGAGTAGGAACACAATGTGCCTTGGGTAAGTCACTACAAAATATCGTAGGAATATCTGCCCTGCCTACGGATGTCGATAATTCTTTGTTATTCTCAATAGCGGGACGTCTTGGAACGAAATAGACTTGAACTTATTTTTTTTGTATCGACTTGGCCGTTATTACTTGATGGAAATCCATATAGTAGATGCGAAATTCTTAATAAAACGACATATTTCGCTATCACTCGAAAACCCAAATTTGTTTATACCTACTATAGGTATAGGTAACTAGTTTTATGTATACATTGGGTATGTATGTATGTATGGTCATTGAGTATTCACAACTAGTGTATATAATCAAGGGTATGGTGAAATAAAAACAAGAAAAAAACAATTGAGCGTTCAACCACATCGTGCATGCTTTGATATAGTTTGGTTAGTAGGTCAAATTTTCATTTTCATTTCACTGTTTCAAATGATGGGGAAGAGAATGAGTGTTTGGGAGATACTTTAGTTTCTTATGACCCGCTTCAAGCACAATAAAGTTTTATTTTGTAGTGTAGATCTGTAGATGGTGATAGTTTTTCCTTTAACCTACTTTAACGAGAAGCATTAGCCTTGATTTCCGGAAAACCGTGAAATTGTCAGCATGCCTTTTAGTTGCTTTGTCGTTTTCATTCCCGCGATCTTGAAGGTACGTAAAGAATCTTTGTTTGATAGGTAGGTGCTCAAAGTATGTAAAGTACCTAGCTACCCACATGATATGTGTATACAGTTTGATGCAAATGTATGGAATAAATTCATTATTTCAGAAATGCGCGACATTTGAAAAAATTCCAAAAACACGTGAGTTTTGATTTCTGAAGCCTCATCTCATGATATTCATATGAGAGATGTTACGTCACCGGTGTTGGAGTAAAGACGTATAATGGATGATTTTTTCAAATACAAATAGGGGTCATGTGACACCTTGATTGAAAGGTCTACCGATCGTCTATTCAACAGTCAAAATGTTGCATAAGAAGATTGAAATTAAAATGGATTATCATGTGATTAATTGAATCTTGCAGAGGTCTGCTATACTGAGAATTGAACATCGAAGGGTCGTCTAGTTAAAAAAATACGTCGAAAAAAAAGTTCTAAACTCTAGTTTTTGTTTTTTTTTTCGAAATTCGTCTTGTTTTGAAATGAATTTATTCCATACATTTGCACAGTATATATCATTACCTGATGTATAGAAATTTCGCAATATCTAATAAAAATCGACCTAACTGTTCATGTTTCTTTAACTATCCAGAGTTTTTCCGAAATTGGGGCAATAAATAAAATGAGGTGTTCTATACAAGGTGAGTAATAACTATCGGAACATAGGCTGAGAGCGTTTTTTTTTTTGGACTAAAATATGGCGATAGGACCGAATATTGCTGTGGAAAAATAAACAGGGCGTTAAATTTGGATTTTTGTTTTCGGTTTCTGCTAATAATTTCACTGTCTATTTTTCAATTGTTATCAAAATCGGCACAGATGCAAAATTCAATACTGAGAATATTATTTTATGTATTATTCTACAGTTTGTTACAGGAAGTACGCCACGTGATTGATTCCTGATGATGAAATCGACTGATTTTGATTAGATAATATGACATCATTTCTACGTAATATTGGTACTCCTGTTTAAAAACGATATTTTTATCCATGAATGAAGAGTGTGCTTTGAGATAATTTGTTGCTGGTGAATTACATTTCTTGCCAGGGAGTTAATTTTGATGCGAGTTTATAGTCAATACTTTTCGGATTGCAAGTATCTTTCTCCACGGCAATATTTTATTAGGACATATTTCAAATTTGGCCTTATCGTCATATTTTTGTCCAAACAATTCGCTCTTTGCCAATGTCCCAATAGTCATCATGACTCACCGTGTATATGGAACATAATGACACGACAAAAAAAATGTTTTGAAAAGTTTTCAAAATATGTGCGCTCCCACCATATTACATCTTTAACTATTATTGAACTGTTTCCATTGACCCCATTCTACGGTATCAAGATTCCAGAGGGGCTTAGATTTCAGATCAAAATAAGACTTTTTTCTATAAATATGTGTTCGCAAACGCTTCGTTAGCGATCTACAGCGTTAAATAAGTTTCAAGATTTTTTATTTCCCATCAGCACTTTTTATAAACAGCATAGATCTCAATAGACACACAGTAAAGGTTCGTTAGGTTTCTTATTCTTCAGGTGATGTTTGGAAACTTGTAAGCTAATTTTGGGAAACATCAGGAGAATGTTCTTTACACGTAGTTACCTTGGGCATTCCAGCAACGATAATAACGTGCGTAGGCCTTCTCATCAAAGGTATCGGTAGCGGCAGCTCCCCATGCTTAGCTCTAGCTGTCAGAGATAGCGCTGTTAACTTCGAATGCACCCCTAAATGGCTCATCATGACCGCGAAGGCAGGAATTATATGGGCCATCGTTATTCTACTGATCACGAGGCCCTTTTTCCACGGGTGTTTGTATCTTGATATGATTTGGAAAGAAGCCAGAGCAGCAGCTGACAGCCAGGTAACCGCTACAGCGATGCTCAATAGCTGCCGTCTAGTTGCTACTTGTCCAATTGGCCTGTAGTTTTTCACAGTGAAATAGCGGTCAATCGAGATAGCCATCATCGAAAGGGTGCTGGCAGATACAGGAAGTGACTGAAAAATGAAAAAGCACAATTATAGTTAGCACAAATTCAATATCCCTACGTTTGTTGTTTAGCAAGATCGATTAATCGATTAATAAGCGATTAATACTCCGATTTACATAAACCATCATCACTACCTAAATATGAACTTCATTTGGAAAAAAATAGAAACTTAATCATATCCAACGCATACATATGTGTTTTAAAGTGTTTCAACTGATCATCTCGAAAATATCGTGGTTTATTGGATTTACGAGCCAGGAATTCATTAATTTCCTCATATTCATGACGTAACGTTCAACATAATTTCACCGATATGGTTCAATAAAATTTCTTGTGAAACAATTACATTTTTGGTGGTTAGGTATGTGGGCACTACTTTGGGCGAGCAGTGTATATTACCTGACGTGAATACAAGTGGAATAATTTGACGGAATCGTTTTGTATAAGTACGATCATTATTCATTCAACAAATTTGAAACTTGAAATGACAGCTAGTAGTTATTAATCTGATTGAATCTTCAAAATGTATACGCTTTATCTTATCATATTATAATTATATCATTGAATTAATCATACCTACCCGAGTACCTACCTCTGATGGCCCCTAGAGCAAAGGCCCAACATAAAAAACCAAGAAGAATGTTTTGGCGCGAGATGGCGAGGACACAACCCCACATCAAAACAAATCATTTTGCAAGAATGCTAGATGTCAGTTATTGTTAGGTTACCTAGGTACTGTGTAAGTTATTGTTATTACTTAATTATTATGAGATTGTGTTAGGGACGTTAGGGTTGAGTTGACAAAAGACAAGTAATAAAAAGTTGAAGTAGTCGAGTATCTTATTTTCTTATTTGTTGTTTGGAAACTCACTGCAGTTAGCTATGTTATGTTCAACAGTGTCATCGACAAAAATTCGAGTGAGTATGGGAACTGAAAATGACAGGGAAATTAAAATTCCTTTGTAATGTTATAACAGGACAGGAATAGTTGGATATATGATAAACAAAGCTTTTGAGCTGATTCAGATAGGTTCAGCGCAAATAAGCGTACTGGTACCTAAATATATCTATAGGGTAGGTATGGTTCAATACACATGTACAGTCGTCTTCAGAGATCATGTCGAGGTCGGACGGTGTCAGCGCTCTTATTGAAGGAGTTATTAAGAATGCTGTCATCGTCCATGTGCGACATGTTTTCTGTAGACGACGGGTAGAGATGTATTGTATCCATAGGTAGGTATTTTATCAGCAATATCACCATCCTTGTGTATTCCTAATACTTTTCACAAGTTCATAATAATTACATTATTTTATGTAGGTAGGTATATATGGGCATTGACAACTTTCTGAACTCCATCATAATATTGAAAGTAATTAGTACCTAGTTACTTATTTAGTGCTCTACTAAATAATCATCAGTTCTACCAACCTTGAGTATACCTCCTTTTTAGCTAGAGTTGGCTATGAAATTTGTTGCCAATACAGATTTTCATATTTTACCTCAACAAAACAATAACAAAACACTATCCCAATGCAAGGTCTATTAACTTCTATAAGGTTACCTCATAGTATAGCATTATGGTGCGGGGGTGCGCGGAGGGGCGTGACGTCAGTGTTTCCCCACCACGTGATTGTAGATTTCGTTTGTGTCACTGTCAAATGAATTGAAAAAATTTTTGAATTTGAATTCGAAAGAATCGCGAATTTTGGACTTTAGTTGAAAACAGGGTGACAAGAAGACTGAAGATATCTTTGAAAGAGTGTGAGAGGTTGTATAATAATATGGTGTAGTATTATTCAAGGCTGGTCACATCATAAATATCATAATATTGTCAAGAGTGGATATAGAACAAACAAATGTTATGAAATGCCTGTTTGGCAGCCTCCACATGAGATTCAGATAATTCCAAAGGAAAATGATGAGCTGTGGCAATGTGAATGTCCCTGTGAAGCAGGCATGTCACGGTTTTGTATACACATTTTATAGGGACTTATATTGACAGGTAGGAAGGTGCACTTTTGATCTATCACACACACAGGTAAAAAATACATGAAATTTCAGGAATGAAGACTTGGAATATGTGAAGCTGCATATATAACAAACAGAAGTGGTGAAAATTGAAAAAAGAGAGTAGATCAATCAATGATCTATTATACAGCCAAACCATTTCAATAGTTCTGCTACCTGCTTATTAAAAGAAGGAAAGTGACCCCCTAAAATCATTCTTCCTTTATATAATTGAAGTCAATTTTACAGGGTATATCAGTCTATTTTGTTTTTTGTTTGGAAGCCAATGAACTCAATGTGAACAACTAGCTATTGCATGGTACTCAGGAACACTGGTGAGTTTATTAAATTTTACTTATACTTGCTACTTCATTTTTACATGTAGCAAGGAGTCTTGGGAAAAAAGGCAATCAACTTCTTCTTTCCAAAGGATTTTTCAAATAAATTTGTTCAGCATGGAGTTGAATATGAATCCAAAGCTCTTTCAAAATGTTCATTGAAAATGATATTGAATTTCAAATCATGCAAACTAATTTGTGTCCCAATATTTTCCATGGTTAGGATTTTCTCAATATGAAATTATTTTTCAGGAAGGAAGACCATGGAAATAATTAAAATAAGTGTCCTTACTGAGGTCCTTACATAGAGGTTTGTTAAATAATGTGTATTACATTCAGCTTGAATTATTTTCTCAAAATTTTAGGTAAAGGTTCAGAACATTTTGTGGAACAATGCCATTTCTTGATAGATGGTATAAAAAATGTGAAGTTGGAAGAGAGACACACTTATCATGGATAAATTCAGTTGAGAATAATGGCCCTAAAATGTCCCTAATGAACTTGAAAGAAACTAATTTTCTTGTATGATTCTTCTTCCTCCAAAACTTACATAAAGATTCCAGTTTTTTTGTGATACATTTTGTGTTAATGTTATGAGGAAGATATCTCAAAGATATTTCCATTATGTTGCACTTTTATTGCATTAATAAAATTGAATGAATTGTGATGACTTCTTTATTAATTCATTTTCTTATTATTGCATTTTCAAACAATAATATGTTCCAAATTGATACTGAAATAAAACCAGTGAGTTAGAATCATTCAATTTATCCAGAAGGAAATCCTCTTTAGTTAATTGTTTCTTGTTTCTCAGAAATGATGGCCTAATCAATTTCAAGATATTTCTTCACATCCCTTGTCAGCATGCCCTTATCCACCATGATTTCATCATTAGGTTCAGACTTCCCAATAACATTTTCTTTATTAAGAAATGCTTTATCAGTAGTTCAACATCCATGTCCTTATTAATGCCAATAGTAATCAGTCCTAATGGAGTGGTATTGCAATAAGAATTTGACTGAGTTTCTGTAATGTGTCTGTACAACAGGAGCACTGAGGAACATATCTTTCTAGATTTCTGTCTTCAGTCTTTTGTACTTGCTGCATGTTTTGGGAAAACAGTGAACAATCTCTTGGACACAAAAACATATTGGAAAACTTCAAAATTTATCAATATTCACTTGATTGCACAATGCTAAATTTGTTTGTTTTGTTTTTCACCTCCGCCATTTTCATTTTGCCGTTCGACAAAAGACGATGGGGAAACAGTGACGTCAGGGCAGGTCAATATGAGGCAACCTTATAGAGTTGAATAGCCTTGATCCCAATGATCAGTTATCAAGCCCATTAATGGCCAAGTATATATTATGGCATCCTGAATAGTCTTCATATATATCTGTACTGAAAACTGAAATTGTGGATTGTGAAGTTGTGAAATGTGAATAGGTTTGTTTCAATAATACATTTTTTATTTTTGATATAGGTATATTCTAGATTTGCTTATACAATAATTGTTCAAACTTTCAGGTGTGATCCACCTGTAAATGGCATCCCAATGACTGACTTCAAGTCAGTATTCTGATTTTCCAATAACCCATGTTCAAGCTGAAAGGGGTGAGTTGATTTAATAGTTAGTGGAATTAACTTCATGTAGAGATTCCTATTCAATTTGGATTTGAGTGGAAAATCTCATTAATCTAAATTTCATAATAATATACTTAATCTATATATTTTCTTGGAAAACTTTTATAGTCCCTCAATCTCCATTAGCTTCATTAATCCAAAATCATACTGATGAATTATGTAGTAAAAGACTGATATAGGTAGTTTATGTGAGGAAATTAAATATCCAGGAAAATAGTTTAGCTGTACCTATAACTTCTATATCTCATGAATATAATCTCATGTAGAGTAGGTAGTACTTAGGTAGGTACCTACCTTCCTACCTACCTCCAACATATTTATAGAATGGTATTTTCTACTGCATTAGTACAGGGTGGTGCAACTATACTCAAACTTCTTCATTTCTGGTACTTGATCTGAATCAAAAACTTGAAAGCTCTTATGCTAGCAGGTATTCTGGGAAATTACTTACCTATACTTACCTACCTTCCTGCTTTCTGTATAATATGATGAGTTTAAATTCAGCAAATGTTGTACATTTCATGGAGGGTAGGTACTATTGGAAATCCAGAACAATTACAAAAGATAAATTACTGATGATAAGTATGTAGGCACCTAAACACATAAACAACATGAAAGAGAAAGAGTATACAAATCATGCCCTCGTAATTACCTATTGTAATTTTCCTTCATTGATTTATCTGATTTCTATTTCAGTTGTATGAGTCAATTAACAGATTAACAGTTAGACCGGTAGGTAGTATGAGTGTGTGTTTGGGAAAATCGTGCCTACAACAATAACATTATAGGGTGCCTTGAAGTTTGGTATTCTGAAATTTCATTTATACTATCAAATTATTTGAAATACATAAATTCATGACTTTTTTCTCAGGTATAAACGGGTATAAGGATTATTATAACTGCTTTTCGCATGATTATGATCTATGATTGAATATAATATCTAAAATTTGTTGAAAGCCATTGATCTTCAGCATACTAATTTTAGCACCTATTTGAATGGATGTTTGGGTAAAGATACGTTTTTTCCGGGCTCGGACAATAAAAAGTCTATCTTTTTGTTTTCAGAACTTTCAGGTTCTTTTGGTGAGACAGAGCTTAGGGACTTATTCTATAAATCATTCCAGTAAAGTAGTTGAAGAGAATTCGTGACGGTGTGAATTGATGAGTTTATTAGTGACAATTTTGACTAAATGGTAGCCAGAAGTTATAGGAGACCGAATTTCCAGAAACCTATACCTATCTATCTAATACAGGGTCTCCAGAGCTTATAGGCCAGCAGATATCACGCACTAAAGATGAAAAAAAAAATGAAATTAATATGATTGAAAGCTCTTCAAGCAAGATGATGAGATAAATTCGCCCTCGAACAATCTACTATAGATACCACCCTAAACTTTGGTTTTTATAATTGCACCCCTATTCGGTCATTGTGTAAAGTATATGACAATGCCGACTGGCCCATGTAAGTTAAA